ATCATGACAGGTTCGCTGAATTTTTGGTAGCTTAATTAGTGGTGGTTGGTTCAACTAATTGCATATGTTAAACAACTTGGTTACGAATTTTCAATCGTCTTCTTCCGGCTTTCAGGTCATTTGACAACTAGGAGCGACGTCTATAGCTTTGGAGTAGTGTTGTTGGAACTGCTAACTGGGAAACGTGCCGTGGACAAAAGCCGTCCCAGCAGAGAACAGAATTTGGTGGAATGGGCAAGGCCCCTGTTGAAAGATCTGCATAAGATTGATAAAATCATGGATCCGAAGCTTGATGGTCAATACTCGTCGGAAGGGGCGAAGAAGGCGGCTACACTGGCATATCAGTGCTTAAGCCACCGTGCCCGATCTAGACCTACGATGGACGGCGTCGTGAAAATGTTGGACAACATTTTGGACTTAAAAGATGACATCCCGGTCGGGCCATTTGTGTACATTGTGCCCAAAGAAGGGAAAATGGCAGCAGAGGCTCATGAGCTGACTTCAGAAAAAACAAAAGGGCACGTGAAAAATGAGGAGGAAAAGAGGGTTCCCGGCAACAATGGACGAGAAGAAGAAGACGACGACGACGACGACGAAAGGGCAGCCGAATTGAAAAAGAAAAAAAATGGAAATGGTTGCCAACGAGGCAGAAAAGGACATACGCATAAGCATCGAATCAGGTCTCGTGCTGTTTACTCCGATACCGCTCTCTATACAAATCTAAGGAAAGAATTTAAGCTGCCAAAGGCCAAGGAGTTCAAGATTGTGAAGATGGACGCCTGCCCATCCCAATCGAAATGTACATGAGGATTCAAGAAGGATTAAGGACGCCAGTTATTTGTTTTTTGGTTTATTCTTTTGGGTAGTCATCAGCCACTTACCTTTCCTGGAAGATCAGCTCATCTTCCCTAATAGCCTCATCCCTGCAATTTTTCTGAAGCGAGAAAAATTTTGGGTTGTATATAAATCTCTTTATCAAATATTGGGTCCGTTTCGAATCGGTGTTTGTATAAAATTTTACTGTATCGAATCGGTGTTTGTATAAAATTTTACTGTAATTTATCATAGAATCAGTAAGTTATATATATAAAAGTTTAAACCCGAGCTCCAGTAGGTAAACTGATGGTCCAGCTTGCTTATTCATCAAACTGTGACTGTGAGGTGAACTTTAGTTCGATTATTTTGATTTTGACGTCTGGTGAATTTCAAGTTGCATAAGACACAGGATATGGATTTGATTTGACTAAATTGGCTCCCACTTGAAAGACATGGTCCGGTTGATTACCAACCAAAAAATTTATCAATTATCTGTTTGCTGTAGTCTGTCTTAACAATTTGGATTGCATTTTTGAGAGTTTTGAATAATAAAAAAATGTACTCCCTCTATCCTATTTTGATAGTTCTAGTTTTTTTTTTCACACAGTTTAAGAAAAAGTAGTTAATTTTATTGGAACAATAAATTTAGATTGCTATTTTCCTGAAATATTCTTACATTAACTAGAATACAACTTTATAGTATTAATTATTAATGAAAACTTGAATTGATGGTTTATGGGAACTTAAATTAATGATCAAGAAAGAATTAATTCTCATTTTACATTATTTCACATTTTGGCTCGAAAGAATAACAAAGCTGGCTTTTCATATATCAATATGTTTTGAAAAATCTAAAAGTATTAAATGAGATAAGTTAACAATTTATATTAAATAAGGTAGTTTATACTAATAACAACCTACATTGAATAAGGGTATTTTAGAGAAATTAAAAGATAACTACATTTTTCAATTGGAAAGTGGATTACAATTTGGAACAGACGAAAAAAAAAACATGACTATCAAAGTGAGACGGAGGGAGTAATAATACTATAATACTATTTCAAGATGTGATGTATATATATAACAAAAAAAAAAAGATGGTTAAAGAATTTCTTTAAAAAATTCCATTTTTTTTGTTTGTGGGGGGGGGGGGGGGGGGTAAGCACATAATATATTGAGGATGATTTTTTTTTTTTGGGGGTGAAGATATTCTGAGAATTATCAATTATGTATGCGGTACAAATATGCTTCAATCGCTGATCAAGTCTCCTCTCTTGCTGCTTGGCCTTTACAATTATTTAGTGGGTTCGTTTGGATTCCTTGTTTTTGCACCTGTTTTTTAAAAACTGTTTTTTACATTTCAAATGCTACAGTAAATATGTATTTCAAAAACAATTCCAAAAACACCCATATCCAAACATTATATCAAAAACAACTCCAAATATACAAATTTAATATGTATATTTCAATTTATATTAATATAATATAAATTGAAATATATAAATTGAAATATGTAAATTGAAATATACAAATTGAAAATTATATATTTATATGTTATATATGTTATATATTATATATTATATAAATATTTACATACATTAATATTATACATAATATAATATAATATACATAATATGTAATATTGTATACATAAATGTATAAATATTTATACATAATATATTATGTACATTATATTATAATATATACATTATTAATGTACTTTCATTATTATGTACATTATTGTGTATAATAATGTATAATAAAGTTATGTATAATATATAATATACATAATATGTAATAATGTATAAATGTATATTATGTATATTATATTATATATATACAATATTATGTATATTATACAAATTGCAAAATTTTATATTATATATTTATATATTATATAAATATTTATATAATGAAATATACAATAAATATTACAAATTGAAATATTATATAAACACCATATTTATTAATATTCAAATATTTATAATTAATATTAATGTATATTATATATATTAAATATTTATAAATAATATATTTATATATTCAAATTATATATAATTTATTTATTTAATGTATATGTTTATATATTTATAATATATTTATACAAAAAATATATATTACAAAATTATATATAATATAATATAATATATATTATATAGATTATACATTTATATAAATGTACATTTATACATAATATATATATTTATGTATATTTATAATTTACATTTATATTATGTATTATATATAATATAATACATTTACACATTTATATTAATATACATTATATTAATTTTACATTTATACATAATATTAATACATTTATATATTTATATTAATTATATTAATACATTTATACATAATATTAATATATATTTATGATATATTAATTTATACATTTATATAATATTCATTTATAATTTATATATTTATAATAATATACACTTATACATTTCTAAATATATTTATATTATGTATTAGATATAATATAATACATTTATATATTTTTATATAAATATATAAATATATTTAATTATAAATATTTATAAATGTATTATAAATGCATAAATATATATTTATATAAAATATAAAATTTATAATTTTTACATTTATATAATATTCATTTATAATTTATACATTTATAATAATATACATTTATACATTTATAAATATATTTATATTATGTATTATGTATAATATAATACATTTATAATATATTGATATATTTTTATATAAATATATAAATATATTTATTTATAAATATTTATAAATGTATTATAAATGTATAAATGTATATAAATATAAAAATATATAAATTATGAATTATAAAATACTCAAAAATATGTTTTAAAAATACCTCTAAAAATAATCAAAAAAACATCTACAGTAAAAGTTTTTCATATAGTTTTTGAAAAACAACCCCAAAAACAACTAATCCAAACGGACTTGTATTTCAAAAACGAAATGCTACAGTATTGTTTTTGAAAAACAACCCCAAAAACAGCTAATCCAAACGGAAATCTTTGGCCTACAAAATTATCAACAAACGGTGCTCAACCATACCAATGGGAGAACGATCATCAGAGCTTAATTAACATGTTTATCGAGCCGGCTTGTTCTGGGGAGCTTTTAGATTGCTAGATATATATATATTCATGCAACAAAGGCTGTACTATTAAATGGATTAACTTTTACAGTGATTATTTTACATTAACAGCCTTAAATATATGTCACATGCATATGATTTGAATTTGAAATTTAGATTCATATGATATAGTATGATCCAGACTTGCTTGTATTAAAAAAAAAATCTTCGCACTGATAGTGTATTAAAAAAAATGGTTATCCCTATTAATCAGCCAACCTCAAGAACAAATTCTGGTCCAATATTGCCAAAAAAAAAAAAAGAGAGAGAGAGAGAGTAATATTGCAACTTCTAAGCAGCAAGAATGTGACAACCCGACCCAACAAGTTCTTTGGCAGCTGACCTTCCAATTCTATACACTAATCGCGCACAGTTTCAGATGCGAATCGCTACTTGTTTCGTTCCGCCGCGGTGATCTAAAGTCCCTTGACAGTTTCCAGTTACTCTATAGTCTAACCCATTCAATGCCATTACGATTGGATTTGGGCCGTCAAATCTGCCCAACCGAGGGAAGAAGAACAGTTTGTTCGTTTTAGTACTAAGTAGTTTTTAGACCCAACAAGGAAAGGAAATGTACATATCACCAATTTCGTAGACATGATGAGTATTGGACTCAACTACCCCTGCATCAAAGAGGGTCTGCACTCTGCACGGATTGAAGTCGTGCTTTTAACTCCATAAAAAGATTCTTGTTGCTGGAAGAAAGGAAAAAAAATGGCTTTTCGTGAAAATTTAATGAACATATACATACATGATCGCACGTTTGCATGCCAGAAGAAAAGAAACGCATGGATATGGTTGTTAAGGTTTTCAGGTAGAACTCTGTTCCTGACCCCGAAACCCAAAAAGTTGCAGAAAGCTAGAAAAGTTGCTAACATAAAAATAGCTAACTGCAGGAGGTATCAAGGAGTTTTAACTTTAAGATGCGTCTTCTTGATTTGATTAATTGCACTGCTTATTTTATTATGGCCATCCTGTCCCTTCCTACGCATATTATCCGCTAAAAACTCAACAATGTAACATAACGAGGTGCATGGCCTATATCAGGAAAAGACGTTTTTAGGTTGGTGGATCATTAATCACAAATTCATTCAATCTGGTACAGGCCTGCGTGCGAAAGAGGAAAGAAACACACCACACAATTGCGCAGAATTGGCACAACCACCAACTACAAAGGGCTTCTGGTGGCAAACATATACTGCTATAAATATATATATATAAGTGCAGCTCCAAATTTTAAACTCGCAGTTCTGTTTTATTTGAGCAGAGTCTGATTGTGATCCGCAGCACACGTCGCAAATCATAGCGAATAAAGATGACGAGGAAGCCGAGGCTCAACAATTGCAACAAGCGGGATCTTTCTTGGTGTTGAAAGCCCGAAGATTTCATCCATGTCCAACTCCTCAGGCTTCATATCATTTGGCAACTTCCATTTGTATCCATGTAAAAGGTTGGCCAAATTGGATTGGATAACCTTGAGGCCTAAACTGTAACCCGGGCACATTCTTCTTCCAGAACCAAATGGCAACAGCTCGTAGTCGTGCCCTTTGACATCAATGTCCTTTCCAACGAATCTGTCGGGGTAAAATTCCTCGGGTTTCTCCCACAATGCAGGGTCCCTCCCAATCGTCCAGACATTAACGAGAACTCGAGTCCCCTTCTGGATATCGTACCCTGCAACTTTGCAATCTTCGCGAGCACACCTGGGCACCAGCATTGGTGCCACGGGGTGCATACGCATTGTTTCTTTAACAATAGCCTCTATGTAAGGAAGGTCTGGGATGTCCTTCTCCGTCACCCATCGGCTCTGACCAATAACCCGGTCGAGCTCCTCGGTTGCTTTTCCGAATAGTTCTGGCTTTTTCAGTAGCTCTGAGATGGCCCATTCTACTGTCACCGCTGAGCTCTCGGTTCCACCGGCAAGTAGGTCCTAGAGTTCATTAATTATAATGTGAAAGAGTCAGTACAATTAATAAAGTTCTTAGCAGAAACTGCATAGCAATTGCACTGTATCTGTATGTATGCCAATTATATACAGTGGTTGGCTTGTTGGGGCCACGGGCTTGTCAATGGAAGGTTGCCTCAAGAGCCACTACTATAAGTGTTCACGTCATTCTGATTCTAGTCGAGCAACATTTGATTTGATGACTACATATTTGTTTACTGGAACTTTCTTTTTTCTTTTTCTTTTTTTTTAAAGAAAATAAATAAAGCTATTCTAGTTATCGGAGGCAGTTGAGTATATTCAAAAGATAATTGACTATGCGCACTCCCTGACACCTCCGCCCGCCCAAAAAAGAGAGAGGCAGAAAATAAAAATTAAAAATTAAAAGCCGTTTGAATTGCTATTTTTTGTAAAAAATATATATATATCTACAGTGTAATGATTTGAGGTACGGAAAGTAGACACACAAAACGTAAAAATTGGCGATCCAAATTGGGAGTAAGTAAGATTGTGGAATTGAGAGATACCTGAGTGAATGCCTTGACTCCGTGCCTCTCTAGCTTCACCTCCAGATTGGGATCGCTGGCCAGGTCCAGAAGGACGTCCACCATGTCCTGGCTTACGTAATTCTTTTCGTCTTTCCTCCGGGCGTTGTGCTCATCCAGGACATGCTCCAGAAACCCGTCGAATTTCTTGCTCAAGACTTTCATCCTCTTAACATACCCCTGCAAATCCAAGAAATCGAGCCAAGGTATCGAATCGCCGATGTTAAGGACACCGTTCAGCAAGAACAGCTCGTCCAGCATTTTCTTGAACTCGACAGGCGTGATAATTGAGTTCGCATCAGACTCGTCCAAGTATCTTTTTCCCAACACCATCCTGCTAATCACGTTCAAGCTCACTGTTGAGAGATAATCTTTCAACAAGACAGGCTTGCCCGATGATTTGAACAGCCCCTGCAGAAGTGAATTCATTTCTTCCACTCGAATGTATTCGTACGATTCCAGTCTTTTTGCGCTGAACAATTCCATGAGGCACATCTTACGCGCCTGGCGCCAGTATGGTCCGTAAGGGGACCAAGTGATGTCGGAGTAATTATAAGTGGTGTATTTTCCGGCTGCAGTTTTGGGCCTCCCCGCAAAAGTGACGTCCATGGTCTTGAGGATAACTTTGGCCATCTCCACGGAGGAGCCGACCACCACCGGGAAGGAGCCAAAACGGAGTTGCATTAGGGGACCATATGTTAGGGAGAGTTGATGGATGGAACGATGAGGGAGGGTGCCCATGAGGTTCAAGTTTCCAATGATAGGCCAGGGCTTTGGACCCGGTGGGAGGTTGAGTTTTTTCTGACGGAAACGCTTGGCAAGGAGGGCGATAACCACCGTTGCAAGCGACGCCAGTGCATAGGTGGTCCAGGTGGTGGGGGTAGAAGAAGAACTCTCCATTTTGTGGCGGAGGTGGTGGTGGCAGATGGCAGGATATTAATGTAGCACAAAGAAGGGTGGTTTGGAATGTGGAGCTATGGAAGGGGGACCGGTACTTATAGTGAAGTTTTGGGACTGACTGATTAATGATGGAACTGGGAGAGTAATTACCGAAGTCAATGTGGAAGTCATTTTGTTTAGTTTATTAGAGCGGTCTGTCAGTAATGGTCAATTCAAAGGAACTTGTCTTCGAGCTAATTTAAACAATTAGCATCCTAAACTTTATTTTGTTTTTTTCCTCTCATTTTTATTACACTTTGCTTTCTGTGTATGTTAGAGCATTTCCAGTGATCAGCCAGCTGCGTTCGAATTTTGTGCGGATTTTCAAGTCTTAAAAAAGAAAAATTCCAGTATGGTAGGATAATGGATTGGAGCTCACAAGTTCCATTTCAGTCCACTTTAAGATAGTAAAAAATTAATTATGTTAACTTTTTTGTTTTTTGTTTTTTCATTATACTGAAGTCTATTTATCCTCTATTCCAACCCAATTACATCAACAAGTAACAAACTGATTTGGAATGTAACCTGGGAGGATCCATCCACCTGGGACAAGGAGATAGCTCTACTGCACAGCGTCGGTTCATGGAGGCAGCAGAGAGTGATTTGTCCTTTAAATGCTTGGAAATAATTCCAGCTTCCACTTGCTTCCACTTCATAAAGGCACATTATCAGCGGGCCAGTTCCAACCGTATACGTGCACTAGTGTCCGGAGAATTGGTTGTTAAACTCCAAAGCTTGGGTCTTTGTGTCTACGGCTGCGATCCCCCGGAGCTGCTTGAGTCAGAGCTCGACTTGAGTTCGGTGTTGCATTAATACACACGAATCGAACTTGATAAGTCATTTGTTAGGGTTGATTGCTCGATGAGTTGTTTGAAAAGTTCGAGTTGATGTGAAATTACAAAATGCTTTTGTATCAATTAAAATCGAACTGATTTCAAGCTCCTCACGAGCCAGAGATCAAGCCAAGTTTCCAATTCAAAAACGAGTCAAGTTCAAACATTTCTTTTTTTATATCGAGTCGAGCTCTAGTTTCATTTTTTCTTTACTCGAGGAGCTCGAGCTCGAATTCGAGCTTGCACATTAACAGGTCCAAGTCAACTCGACTTCACTCGTTTGCAACTTTACTTGTGTCTAATAATTCCGAGTATCGGTGATGCAAATGCCTGGTTGTTTCTTAGTAGAACCCCACGCCAAATAAAGTAAACATGCACCGTCACAGTTCTCACAATTATACATTGCGAAAGTTGAACGAAGTTTCTGAGAATGGCTTCATAAAAAAAGAATTTGAAAAATACTACTACTACTGTTCTTTTCGTTATTAAGTCTCCTAGGGCCAGCAAATTATGCCTCTAGCGAAATCCCTGCCTTGGTAATTTGTGGTCGAAGGCAACATAGGACGACAATTAGCAAACTTTTGATCGGTGTTCTTCATGTTTCCTCTTCATTTTAGTATTTAGTTTGGTTTTGATATGTGGACAGATATCTTCACAGACGGGTATTCTTAAATTGAACTAGTCTCATTTAAGGTTTATTTTTAGGGATGGCAACGGGGTGGGGTTGGGGCGGGGGACCCCTCCCCCATCCCCCATCCCCCGCCCCGCTACCTACAAACTCCCCCCACACCCGCCCCGTCCCCCGCCTCCCACTCCCCCTGCCCCGCCCCGCTTCCCCCGCGGGGTTAATAAAATTTTTCCCGTTAGGTTAATAAAATTTTATTATAGTTAAATTTTAATAAATAATTAAGTACTAAAATATCAACACATCATCAAGTTATTATTCATTTTAATTTTACAATTGAAACTCATAAAAACAATCAAACAAAAATTATTTGAATACAATCCAACATGATGAAATAAATACAACTAAAATAGTTAAGTTTTCACTTTTGGTACAAATATAATCACTAATTCATTATTTTGTTTGTGCTTTTTTTTATAGAAAAAAGTGTTATTCTATTAAGTATAATTAGAAATTTAGTATAAATGTATTAGTAAATTTAGTATAACTAATTAATAAATTTTATTAATAGACATGTCTAATTATTCGTATAATTGATAATATTAATTATATTACATACACTAATATACATTATATAATACATCTAACTAATAATATCATTATCATAAGTTTATAACTAATTAAATTACATATTATGTATAATTATATATATATATATTTTTTTTTTTGCGGGTGGCGGGGCGGGGGTATACTCCCCGCCCCCCACGGGGCGGTTGCCCGCGGGCACCTGCCCCATTGTCATCCCTATTTATTTTGTGTCAAACAAATCTCTCTCACCATAATAATATATGGTTGAAACTTGAAAGTTGTTTATAGAAAAATTCCGTCCCACTTTGATAGTCCTGGTTTTTTTTTTCACACAGTTTAAGAAAAAGTAGTTAACTTTGTTGGAACAATCAATTTAGGTAACTATTTTTCTAAAATACCCTCACATTAATTAGAGTACAACTTTATGGAAACTTGAATTGATGGTAAAAAAAAGAATCAATTCTCATTAAATGGGGTAGGTTTATAGTAACAACAACTTACATTGAATAAGGATATTTTAGAAAAATTAAAATACAATTACATTTTTCAATTGGAAAGTGGATTATAATTTGAAATAAACGAAAAAGGAAAACAGAACTGTTAAAGTGGGATGAAGGGAGTAATTGACAGTTGGTGAAGCTATTAATATCTTAGGATAATTGCAAATTCAAGTTCATCAAAAGTATCCAAAGGAAGTAGGTAATTGTGAACTGCTATGTGAAAACAGACTGAAAGTTTTCAAGAATATCTGAGCAGCCGTTCTGGTCTGAAACTTTGACCAAATGTTTGTTAACAATAGACTCAACTTTTCCTTCCCTCCCGTCGACGAACTTTTCGGTGTCAGTACCTGGTTGTTGCTGCCGGTTATTCACATTAAACAGTCAGAAATGTGAAAGCCGAAAAAAAAAAAAAAAGACGGGAAACAGTAGTTGACGGATACCAACATCACGAAAGCCAAATCGTGATATGAGTTGCAGCTTGACCTCATCAGATACATCCATATAAAATGTTCAAAGAAAGAACTACTACAGTACTATTACTTTCTATATATTACAATGACACGCTACATGATAAACATCCAAGAAAAGATGGTATCCATACCCCACATATCTTTTTCAACACAATCTTTTCTTCTTTCCTTGGGTTAATGACTTGGGATTTTATTTAAGCAAAAATAGCTTGTGGGATACATGTTAGTAATAGAATATATATATATATACACACACGCACACACACATATAAGTGTGTGTGTGTGTAGCTTTAATATCTTGCAGATGTGCTTGCTGTTTTCTTTTGTCTAACTTCTGCATGTCAATTGTTTCAGGGTCTCAATAGAAAACTTTACCACCACTAGGCACTAGTATTGATTAACCGCACAGTCATCACTTCATGCACGCTAATTCAAGACTGCAGCCCCATTTGATTTTCTTTTTCTTGTTTCCCGGAGCGAGATGAAAATGACTTCTTCAAACCAAAAATCTGATGGCCGTGCAGTTTTGTTTAATCTGAGGGAAAAGTTGCAGGGATTTACACGTCTGGGGGGCCGGGGATGGGGTCAATTCTTGGTCAGTGGCTAGTGCGATGGACTCGTAATGTTTGGTTTGTGCTTGGGCAGAAAATGCCAGGAAATTAGCCCTTCAATTACCCAACACAAAGGAACAATCACTGTAACACAAAAGACTAAATTATATAGAAATGACTTGAGCGGATGAGCAGCCAAAAGAGGGCAAATTCGTAGTAGTTGCAAGGAGCATGAGATGTGGTAAGTATATTACTATGAACTAAACCATGATGACAAGAAAAGAAGATGGAGGGGAAACTAAACTATGTTGAAAAAGATTTGTTAAATTTCCTCACAAGTAGCTAGTGCCTGGTGGGAAGAAAGTAAAGCGTCAAGTCTCCTTCATACCAAAAAAAAAAAAAAAAAGCGTCAAGTCTCCTCGTGTAAGTTGTAACGACCAGGTTTTAACCTTTTTGAGAAGTCGGGATTTTCTTCTCTATTTCCAGGAAGAAGAGTCGAGAAAAACGAGTGAGACTAAAGACAATTTGATTGGATGAAACTTGGCGATTGACGAAGCTCAAAGCAGCAGATTTGCTTTGAGCTCTGGCTCTGTATATATAATTAAGTACCCTGTTCGAAGTGCGAAGGATCTGCGATTTTAACAACTTTTGCTAGAAAACCACTTACTTTTCAGTAACAACGAAGCTCTAAGGCTGGAGGACAGAATAAACCACCCTAGCCTTCATGAGATGTATAGCCCGACAGCCACCACACAAGTAACTAGAAAAATATTTCTAAATTGCCCATTTTTGTTCTTTATTTATTTATTTTAATAATGAGATCAGCAAATAATTCCGTGAAATCGGAAAGAAGAACCATAATACTGGAAAATTTACCCAAACTACTTCATCTTGTACCAGCAAGTTTACAGGAAAAAATAGCGACAAATAATAAGTCCTTTGAGAATTGGATTAATTACAAGCAACGAATTCAGCTACGCGCGCGCGCGCACATATATATATATATATAAAAATAAACTATCAGCTGCATGCATGCTGACGTGGGAACAAAGTATATATTTTGACAAATTTGCACTTCTGCAGCCCTATGCTGCTCTCTCAACGTTTAGTTACATATTATCTTGAAGACATATATATAGACTATAGCTGTCCTATAAATAAGGAGAATAAGGAATTCCACACATTTGGGTTTAACCAAACAAGAGTGCACTATTCGACTACATTGAGCGATGGACAAAAGATTAGACAGTGGCAAAACAAGCGGAAAAGGTATGATTGGAGAGAAGCTAGACTCCTATTCAATGCTAATACAAGTTCTCATTTGGATTGCCATTTTCATCATTTGATATACATACGTACGTGAAGTTAAATAGTGATTGAAAAATATAGTCATTAAAAATGAAAAAAAAAAAAAAAACTACAATCTGAAATATTTCCCTCAACGTTTAAATCTAGAATTTAATCAAAGCAAAATATGCAATTTAATGGCCTCGTGGACAAACATGGACCTAATGGATCTATGTGAGAATCTGAGGCATAAGAAAATACCAAAGACCACACACACTACCACATTTCTCCAATATTTCTGGGCTTCTCCTTAAAAAGAAACGCTATACAGAACAATCCTACTAGATTTTTACGATACTGACGGGACAACGGGGCCTACCATACATTACATTACAGGCGTAGTAGTACAAACATATTTTCTTCTTCTTCTAAATAAACGATTGATTAGAACAACATTGCAGATCCTCTTTTGGGCTACATTCGACATCCCTCAAATCTCAGATTTTCTTGGGCCTCGTCAGGGACTTTGCCTGGACTCATATTGACACGCTATTAGGAACACCTCGACATGTTACCCCAGGTCCTGAAGTAGGTGCTAAAAGCTCATATGGTATCACCCCAGCGCCACATCTATTCCTTAATCTTGCGTCAGCATTTCTTTCCTCAATCTCCTTCTCTATCCTCCCAATCTCTGCCGAGAATTCATAGAATGCTTCGATGACCTCCGCATCCCCTGTCCACGTCGACGGATGATTCCTCTCGCCAAGGTACTCCTCATCGGCGGAGTGAGTCGATAAGGTGTCTACCACGGCCATGTATTTTGTTGCTTGTAACAAACTCGGCAGGGCAGAGAGGAAATACTTTTGTGGATCAGCCAAGAAAACTGCGTATTCTGGATCATTTTCATTAGGGATTAGTCGCCGCATGAGCGGCGGCCGGTTCGGCACGTAGCCACCGTAAGGGTACTGGCCAAAATTCAATGCAGCATGCTGCGCTGATGCAAGCCAGATGAGAGTAGTCAGAATTGAGCTGAGATCTTCAGGTGTGGCTAAAGTGGGCCACCAGTCGGCATTGCGTAGATCCGCATGGCCCACGTTAATGGACTCCGCATACCAGGCTTGAAGCTCCCTATCATTGCACACGACGCTTGGGTCGGGATAATAATGGTTCACACACTTGCGGACCCAGCTCTCAATTGCAGCCCATATCAGTAACCCATCCGCAGCATACGGATAGTCCTCCATGACAAGTTTTAGCCCATGGGTTTGCGTTGGATCCGGTACTGCCATCCCTCTACACAAACAAAAAGCCCCACAAAAATCATGTAAAACCTCCATATTTTGTCAAAAATATTCACACATGACCAGACTGGCAAATAATCATCTAGGAAATTGAAGGTAAAGATTTTTTTTTTATTTATTTAAATTTAGGTACCTCCTGATGAGATCAGCTGGGAGTCCTTCTAAATCAAAACGCCAGAAATTTTTGTAGGCAGCGGCACTAATGTCCATGCAATAACGACCAGGCGTGAAGCAAGACTCAATGATACCGTCTGCATTGATCAAGGCCTGGCGAGCCAATGCATTGATCTCCATCGTATATCTCATATGGGGATCCAAAAGCTTAAATATTGGATGCATTGCGCTCATTTGCCTGTGCGCCGCCAGTATAAATGGTTCCACTGACGCATGTGTGCGCAACCTGAATTCAATCAACCAATGTTCCTTAGATTCCTATATCAAATTCACCGGCAAGATTAACAATTTTCCCCTGTTTCAAATCTTCATTACTAACTCAGTTCGAGTTCTTAAACTTCATTTACGTACCAATGATTGATGAGTTGGTGAACACCAGCATCATTGGAGCAAACGTGGGCTTTAGCCAGCTGCCAGATCCAATTAGTGGTTGCATCAACCGGTGGCGTTACGACACGCTTTGAACGAGAACTTGGGCCAGTGGCTGGGAGGCTAAGCTCTATAGCGATGGGTTTGAGAGTGCCTAAATCACTCAAGAAAAATATGGTGCGTGTTGCATATGATTTACGGCCATCAAGGGCATTAATCCTGTCAAGAAATGGTAAGTAGGCATCGTGGTGGTCCAGTATGTATAGCTTGTTCGCCTCCAAAGCCTGTGAAGGATGGACACAACACGAGTTTTAATACTAAAATTAGACAAGGAAGTTCAAAGTGGCTAACTGAATGAGGACAGCACGTACAGGTTGTCCTGCTGCACTATTGTCTACTGTTGTTTTTATCATGCACGATGAGTTATGAACATGACTGATATATATAAAGGATTGTGACTGATATTCAAAGTGATTGTGATTGATACCTCTTGCACTGTCATTCCGTTGAGATTCCCAAGGATGTGCTCATCTTTGAGAGCTGAATCCAAGGGGCCATAGATTTCAGGGTCAAGCTTGCTAACAGGTGGGAAGGCCTGAAGCCTTTCAATGCTTACAGGATTAACCCCTGCTATTGATTGCCGGGCAAATTCATCATCTCGCAACCATGCAAATTTGTCCTCTGCAATTGCATAAAAAAAGCTTGTTACCATATAATTAGATATCACATTACAAAATTAAAATATCTATCTGACCAATGTAAATGTGCTTACTTGTTAAGATTTTGGGAATGCCATATTTGAGAATATCGCCGTCACGGAATTTGTTGACTGCCTTGGGCAATGGAAGCTTATTCAAGAATTCATCCTGCACGCCTAGCTTCAAAAGTAGTCCTTCAGTGTAGAGGCTATCAATGTCTAAGAACCCCTTGAAGTCATGATTTTTAGCCGAAATGTTGGCCATTAACAATGGCAACAAGTTGTGAAGTGCTCCCTTAAGTCTTCCGGTTGAGTATGCATCTTGCTTAGACTCCTCAAACTGTTCATCTCTAGGTACATACATGGGCAGTGGCTTCTCCACTCTGCTCTCCGCATTCAAATCTGGATCATACAAAAGTTTTTGGGGGGGGGGGGGGAAAAACTAATTCGCGTGTCTCTGCTTTTGGAAGTTGCTGACTACATAGTTGAATGAAGTGGAAAAAAAAAAAAAGATTTGGTATTGCTAACCGGTATCAGTTGGAACACGTCCTGTGCGACATCTCCTTGGATATGGAATCTTATCACCCCCAAGTGATGGCCGAGCAAATTCAATTCCTCGGTCAGGATTGCCCAGATCATTATAGACATCAAAATCATATATTCTATCCGATAATTTCCGGACACCTTTGTCATTACCCCTTAAATCTCTGAGCTCTTTCTCTCTTAATGCTTTCAACCCGGCAGGCGTTTCACCAGGCAGATATGGCTGTTCAAAAGTTGAAAACTTTTCTTTAGTCAAATGATTTTCCATGCTGCCCTTAAAACAACTAGTGTTGTCAATAAGATCAGATAATAAGATTGATTCTTTATTTGATCCGTACTTGTCTTGTCTAGAAAAATTAAAATATTTTAATGCTCATATTATCTTATTAGCGTAAGACGAATTAAAATCAATTATCAATAGCACCAAGAAGGCAAGAATTGGAAAGCAAGTCAGGATTCTACTTTATCAAGAACAGGCCCCCGGGTACATCCAGATCATTATCTTAAGAATTGCCTATCTCGATTACAAAGGGAAGATGGATGAAGTTCGAAATAAGTGGTTGGAATATCTGCCGACAGACTTTTTTATCACCTCCATGCAAAAATCCAGCAAGTTAAAAAAAAAAAAAGAAAAAAGAAATGTAAGTTTGAAGAGTATAGAAAGACTGAAGTCAAAATTTTTTAAGCATGGGTTTCCTCTCCTTTTCTACTTTTCTTGGGAAGAGAAAGAACATGGCATTTTTATTTTCCATATAAGTGTTTGGCCTTTCTTTTCAATTAAAAAAAAAAAGATGGAAAAATAAAAACAAAAACTTTGGGGAATAATTGCTTCAAGAAAGAGAATTTAGAAGGGGAAAACATGCTCCAAAAGAAGAATGCATAAATGCTCCTTCATTCAACTCTTTATCGCAGAAGAAGGGTTCAATTCAACAAGTATGAACCCAAGTGGCCGACTTCAGGTTGGACCAGACCAAAAAGTAGTATGGTGAAGATTTTGACTAGCGAAGAAGGAAGAGTGATAATGCCGTCTTGTGAAAACAGAATATCATAGTGAACGCAGAAAGATGATTACTAACAAACGCCTTTATACCTGATTAGAGAAGAATACCCTCTTTCCAGGATGATGTTTATTGGATTGCACCCAAGAGTTGCAAGAGAAATGTACTGGACCACATGCAAAGCCTTCAATGGTCATGCTCTCCAAGAAGAACTCTTGTTGGTGCTTGTTAGCCACTGTGATCGCCCCTGGCACCCCAAAATTGGAGTCTACAACAAATTCAGCTGTGTAATTTACTCTCTGTGTCTTAAGATTTGATTTCTTAGACCAGTCCTTTAACACCGCTTGCTTGCTTTTCTTTGGAGCTTTTGTATCTTCATCAATGCCAGACCCACAAAAAGAAAGAGAGAGAGAGAGAGAGAGAGATGGGGGAAAAAATTAGAAGGCCAAATCAAAACATATTCTCAAGATCAATGTTGACTCTTAAGCAGTAAACTTTGGAGCAAAAAGTTTTATTTGGGTTCAAGAAAAGAAGGAAATAATGGCTTACTAGGATCAATTTCTGTACTAACAAGCTCTAGCACCACATTTCTTCCAAGTTTGTCAGTCAGAGCATCCAACTGCTTCACAATTGACTCCTTCAAGTCTTCTTTGTGCTTGTTCCTAACAGTAACAACAGCTCTCACCTTGAATTGTACTGCCTTTTCTGGTACAACCTTCACCAAATTCTTCTCACTGATAGCTGCTACCGGACTACTACCAGTACTGGTCCTCCTTGCTTTCCTTATTTGCAGGCTTCTTCTTTCAGCAGGTTTAACCTGAGTTGGATGGGAAGAAGAAAACTGGCCCGATTTCTGATCAACCAAGACCACCTTAAATGAATTGATAAATTGGGATTTCTCCGATAGAGACGTACCCAAAAATTGTTTAGCCACTGCCATCTTAGTTCCCTTATTTTTTTTTTCTCTTAATATCTCTGTTGAAATTGCAGCTTTTTGGGTCCGGAGGAAAGCAGTGAGGAGATACAGGGGTAACTAATGAAATGAAGAAGAACTGTTGTGATCAGTTAAAAGGCATGTGGATAGTTATATATACATACTTACATAGTGTGGTGGATGAACATAAAATATGTTGCAAAATAAATGAATAAGATCTCGCCGTCCACACGTTTTCAATGATATTCTTGTGACTAGCTGGGGGCGGGGGGGTGGAGCACTTTTAGTTGCGCATAGTTTGCTTGGGCCACGATTTTTCATATGGCTTTTAATTTCTCCGGCTGCCAGGTCAAAGACGAGTTTCAAGTTTTCCCCGGGGAAAAGACGACGCGGCGCGGAAACTAAACAGAAAGTCGGAGATATTTTAGTAGACATAATTGTCCTTCTGCTGTCCTAAAATACCAATCATGTACCTGTGGGTTTAAAAGGTTGCATAAACCTCGCACTCATTTTGTCGCCACAGCTTGTGGAGTCTTTATTTGGATGTCTCTATCGTACTTTTTAAATTCATTTCCCAATCAAATCATATTTATCAATGCCTCATTTGGATTGTGCCACACACACCTAGATTATTATTGGATATTTTGAAGGCCGGATCTATCACTGTCGTCTTCTTAATAAGTGGTATGACATAATCTAGGCTATTAGATATTTTGAACATGCATCTATCATTGAAACAAAAAAAAAAAAAAAGACTAAATCTATCCAAATTTAAGTCTTGCCAGTGAAATTTTTCTCAACCAATTTATTATCCTTTCTAAAAATAAAAAAGACATTCCCTTATAATATTGTTATCAATTTGAATGAAATTGAGCATTAATTTATAAAAATCAGTGCCGAGATAAATTGCGCGCTTTAACTCAGCTGTTCAATTATACAATCTATTCACCAATAATTGAACTGCATGGTTAAGACGACTAGTGCATTTTAATTGATAAAACCCGTTGATATGAATTTGTTCAATTTCCTTTATTTTATATAGAGTTGTAAGTGCTGTTTTTTTTTTTTTAATTTGAAGATTACAAGGCAAGCTGCGATGAATCATAAGGCACTGCTAGAGTGGGGATGAAAAGTGGAGAATCATCTATTCTTTTCCTTTTGTTTTTTTTTTTATTATTTAGGGATCCTTATTCCCTACTATTACTGGTTCTGACATTTGTGTGCTGCTTGCATTTAACTTACCTTGTTCAGAAAACAAAGGACGCAATAATCTTTTTAATTGTGTTCTGTAAGTAATATTTGAGGACTCTGGCCTTCAACTTTTTACCCTAGTTAATAAATACTCATATTACACACCTACATGTATTATCTTGTGTTATAATGGTTCGATATTCTAGTATGATTTTAACTACTAAATAACTGAGAGGAGGATTCTTTACCCTTACTCTTCAGTGTAAATTATTCCAGAGCTAACAATCAATTATCATACCTATTGCGAGGCGATTGATTCTTGCCTTTCTCGGGAAAAGAATAATTTCGTCTAGCGGACCGAGTGAAAACTGGGACGAACTTGTCATTCGAGGGAAAGATGAGGCGACAAATGGCAAAAGACACTTTTCAAAAAAAAAAATTTCATTTTTAAATGCTTCAAGAAAAGTTTGAAAGTTCCAAGAAACGTTTGGGCTGACGGGTATTAACGCCTGTTAAATTCTGCTCTTTAAATAAATTTAAAAAAAAAAAAGATCTGTGGGAGGAGAGGAATTGACCAATTATCACTCCTGTCCTGCAAGTTTGGCAGCTTCAATTCAACCATTATCTCCAGTGACCAGTCCATTCCATGCGGTTGGTTGGTGGCTGCTCACAAGGCTTGGGAGTTTGGTCCGTCAATGGTTTCTTAGTTCACGCTTTTGAAAAGGTCCTTTAGCCTTGTTTGGACAGACGTTTTTTCGCCGGAAAATTGCATCGTTTTTTATGTTCATATTTTCGTATTATTTTTTTTCTCACATACATCAAAATATTATAATAATTTTTTTTTAAAAAAAAAAATCCTAGAAAATGCAATCCAACTTCCTAAGGAATAAGGATTGTGCCTTTTAGTGAAATACATATAGATAAACGGATACGCGAGCTCTCTCTTTAAGGTTCCTTCATTCTCACTTTTTCTTTATATCCTTTGTATATTTTTGTGGTAGGATTTGGATGAGTCTACCAAACCCAATATTGTATACTGCTTTCTGTCTTGACAGTACGAATTACTAAAATCAACAAACTGCGTAGATCAGATGACGATGATGAGGTTATCATAGTATATTATATTAGGAAGGTAATGGCATGTGTAGATTACAGCATGGTTTGGAGGAGGTGGGCTTCATGCTTTGCTAAGCTTAATGTTTGCTGATGGATACATTATTGATCCTCCGATTTTTAGTTAATACTTGATAAAGAGGAGGAGTGCCGTACTATGTCCCCAGAGCCACATCTCATTAACGTAGTATGAGAAGAATAGTTCGAACCCATTTTCTTGCCCAGAACGTACGTAACAAGATGCTACAAATACGAAACCATGGAGGAAAGAAATAGACAGCTATTAGGTATACCAGGAACCCCCCCCACAAAAAAAAAAAAAAAAAAATCAGCGTATTTTCTCTGGCAGGGTTTGACGTTTGAACCCGCTGCTAATGAGAAAAGTAAAGCTGCTGCATGCAGCGAGAAAGAAAAAGAAAGAGACTACCAGTAGACAATTAGCCATAGTGAAACTGGACCTGTCGAACAATGAAATTCTAATTTTGACCTTAAAGGGTTACTTGTAGAAATAAATAGCAGTACGACTTCTTCTTTTCTTCTTCTTCTTTTTTTTTTTTTTTTTAATTTTCCTCTCTCTCTCTCTCTCTCTCCCCCTTTGTTATTGGTGAGGTCCTGCCAATGAGGTCGAGAGCAGCCGAGACCGGAGGATGCCCCTTTTGCTCGGACCATTGAATTTCCTTGAAATTCTTATTAGTGTTTAGGTTTAGGGGGTCAACAGTCGGACCGCAGAAGGATCAGCAAACTGTTCGTCATTTTGACCCGAATTCCTTCCGTCCAGTATCGTGTCACACAATGCAATGCAATGCATTCCCATGTTAGAGTTTTGACAAGTCAAAACGCTGACTATTAGAACAATTCACTTTCTCCACGTACACGCACTTGCGTTGCGTCGGTCAGTAATCGGCTAGGCTTTGTTTTGGGGCAGGTATGGGTCGAATGGTTTGGTTTGAGGCGATGGAGTGTAAGTAAATGGTCTCCCATTTGATATCTGTCATTTTATCTTTTGTGTAACCTCGTCGTCAGAATAAACGGGGATGTTCAATTCAATTGACCATCATAGTACGTAAGTACTATTTGAGTCTATTTCTTCTCAGGCACGAAGTTGCCCGTGTTTGGGCCGCGCGACTGCCAACCAATTGACAAAACCATAATCTCCGTAAGGAGGGAGTATTCCTGCATTTAGTTGACCCAATTTCGAGAACGGGTCAAGCCTGGGACCTGCATGTCCAAGACGCGATCGCAGTTTCAACAAAGTATTTAAATTCTGTCATCGTTAGACCAAAATGGATATTCTAAATAATACGAGTTGAGTGTTTAGACACAACACATACATTTGTTTCACGGCATTTGACTTTTTAATGTGAGACGGAATATTACATATCAAATCAGCGTGTCGTGTTTCAGCCACTAGAATGGACTAAAATGCGCATCAACTTTAGCTAACATTTCCGTACTGGATGGACCTGCAGGAGCACGAAATTTGGATCTTCTTAACATGTTCGCTTTTAGAAGCAGTTCAATAACAGGAGCAGCGAGCCAATGGTGGTGATTAACAAAGCCCTGATGGAATGGAATGAATTTCATCTGGCACAAGGGGGGGGGGGGGGAGCAAAACATGACAACCTGGTGGCTGGAGAGCAGGAAAAGGGTAGGAGATGGGATACACCGCAAGCGGGCTGGACCAAAAACTCAACAAGGCAGGGTGGGGTATAGCGGCCAGGAACAGCTCAGGGGAATTGGCAGGTGCATGGGCGAGACCAACTGAAGGTTGTGCTGAGGTACAGGTGGAGGAAGCTCTGGCAATACGAGAAGCTATGGTACTAGCTAAACAAATGGGTTGGAGGAACGCGGAACTGGAATCAGACTGTAAGCACGTGGTAGACAAAATCAATGCAAGGGAAGAGGAAGTCAGCATAGCCATTATTCAGTTGGATATTTGGAGGATGATGAAAGAATTTGACCAATGTTGTTTTTCCTATACTAGAAGGAGCAACAACTATGTAAGTCACTATTTACCAAAGTTTGCTATAACTCTGATTGATGTAGCTGAATGGAAGCTTAGCTTTTCAGCGTGGCTGCTTGAATTAGTTCAGGCAGATTTACCGGAGCAGTTGCTCTGACTTTGTACTTGTTGATGCTTAATACAATTAATGTTACCGTTTGGGAAAAAAAAAAAAAAAAAACATGTTCGCTTTTTGGATGGGCATAGGCACTTGGCGGCATACCATCGTCCCCGAGAAGAATATAGGAAATTCATCAGAAGAAGAAAAAAAAAACCCAAACTATCGACAATTTCTGCTGACGGATTTTAATATAACTGTGGGTAAAAGTTAAAACCATTGACCAAATCTAGTGTTCTTTCCGCCCGCAATCACAAGCCACAACTCACAAGACAGAAACTCGCTGCTACAAAACAAGAGCTCCGTAATCATGCAAGGCCCCACCATGCTGCGATCATTTTTAGTTTCTTGGGGCCAATCTCTCTTTTGATGAATTATTCATTTATTTCAGCCAGAAATACGATATACACGTGTTAATGGCCGGACCTGTTGGGAGCCATGTCAACAAAAATATCATTCGGTAGGGACCCAAATGAATTGAACCAATTAAATTAGTGATCGTTTTCAACTTTTTCATCTTTCACTTCGGTCGGACCATTTTTTTGTGTTGGATCTCACATCTAACACGTGAAATTTCAATTC